GGGGGCTCCAGAACTAATCAGAAAGAGCTTTATTGCCATAAGCTTCCAGTAAAGAAAGCACAGACATAGTGCAGACATACGTGATGAAATGAAATATAACACTATTACTAAAGAGAATAGACAGAATTATAAAATGTGCAAATGATTTGCAGATGAAGTGTTTTGAGAAATGATTAACAGATGTACAGTCTGAGATGTGTTATGTGGCCTGGGGAAAAGCTGTTCTGGTGCTCAGTGCTCTGTAGTGCTGGGTGTGAGGGGTCAGGGGCTCCTTGCTCTTTTCCTCAGTTATTGGAGGTTAGGCAGGGAGCCCCAATGATCCTCAGGTTGAACTCCCTCAGCTGGCGAAGGAAATACTGAAGCAAACACCTGACACTTATAGAACAGCTTGAGTGACTGAAGTTAAAATGTTCAATGACTTATTTTGCAAGCTGCAATCACGAAGAAACAGGGAAAGAGACTGGAGCTGTGTGAAGTCATTAGCGCCAATCTCTGCAGATTATTCATCGCAAACACCACTCACCACCTCCATAAGGATTTGAAACAAATACCTACATGAACGAATTTCTGAAGTCAGTGGTATTAATGAGCTCGAAAGCTTGTTTTAAAGCTGCAGCTATATACTGTAGACCTTATTTCCATACTGTGCATTTTCACCCACACAGCCCATAGGAAGAGCTGAGGATCAGCGGTAATGTTTGAGTCACTACAGCGCTGAAGGAGGTCTGAATCCTGATCCTCAGTGCTGGTTACTGTAGGATGGTTTCTATAACATTTCTATAACACCAGACAGCAGGACACTTAGCAGGACACAGTGAAGCCAGGATAAAACTAAAAATTATCCAAAACCTATAAGAAGCAACAGAAACTCTTCCAGAATCTCTCCGTTAAGGGGTGATATTTAAATGTTATATTTGCCTATTTATTTACCTTTATAAAGGCAACTTTTCTAACCTTTTTTAAATGCACTCTCATTTACATTTTTAAAAATGTATTCAGTAAATACAGTTAGAATAAGACTGTCACTTGCAGACAAGGATGAGGAGAGGCGAAGTGCAGCATTGTTTAATAGAAATAACCATAAACAAGGCAGAGAACACAGGCAAGGGAACACACAACAGCATGCATGAGGTACAACCAAGCACAGAAACACAGGGCTATAAATACACAGCCTAACAAGAGGGTGGAGCTAATGAATTGCCATGACAACTAATAGGGTTAACAATGGAAACAAACAAGGTAGGCAAACGAACAAGGGGGACATGAACTAAACACAGGAAAAACTTCAACATAAAATTCCTTGAACACAAAACAGAGAAGCACAAGACAGTGAACATAACAGAGCCAAGAGTCCAAGAGGGAGGTGTAGCGGAGCAGATCAGGGGGAGGGATGGAGGGCCAGGGGCCCGTGTGGTGGAAGAGGTGGACCAGAGAGAGAGCCAGGGGAGTAGGCCAAGCAGGGAGCCAGGGCGGAGCCGAAGACCACCACAGCGGTGCAGGCGGGACTGAAAACCACCCGGGCGGAGTTGATGGAAGTGAAGACCCTTTCAGCAGAGCTGAGGACCACCAAGGCGGATCAGGCGGAAATGGAAACAGACAACACAGAAAGGTTAGAAATGGCCCCTGTGGCCATAACAGGACAGGTAGTGTTCAGGGACGACCTCATAGACGGCTTTCTTGGCCATGACAAGACAGATGATGGGGGCAACAGCTTCTAATGTATTAGAGAAGATAGTGCCCATGTTGCTAGTTATTTCGTCTAGTTCATGTGTACTTATTGGTACACAGAGCAGTTGAGATAAATCAGAGCTCAGAGACGGTCTCCTCGACTGTGACAGGGCAGGCTGAGTGTTCAGGGCAGGCTGGAAACGACGCCTCGGGAGGAGCTGGAGAACATTTACATTTAGTCATTTTGCAGACGCTTTTTATCCAAAGCGACTTACAATTGGGGAATACATAAAGCGATTCTTCTTAAATAGGCAAGCAGACACAGGAAGTGCTTGTAAAACCAAGTTTTAGGCATTGTTCAAATAAGTACAAGCTAGAAAGGGAAGGAATAAATAAAGAGAAAGACAAAGTTAAAAAAAAAAAATTATTTAAAGGGGTCATATAATGTTGCTAAAAATTAACATTATTTTGTGTATTTGGTGTAATGAAATGTGTTTATGCGGTTTAAAGTTTAAAAAAACACATTATTTTCCACATACTGTACATTATTGTTTCTCCTCTATGCCCCGCCTTTCTGAAACGCATAGATTTTTACAAAGCTCATCGGTCTGAAAAGTGAGGTGTGCTCTGATTGGCCAGCTATCCAGTGCGTTGTGATTGGCTGAATACCTCAAGCGTGTGACGGAAATGTTATGCCCCTCACCATACTGTGATGCCCTGTCCGGCCGGAGCGACGAGACAAAAACATTAAAACCCATTATAAACGAAGCATTTGTTGCATCCAGTGGGGACATAATTACAGATTATAATGACTTATACTGTCTTTTTGCTTGTTGCGTTGCATCGCGCTGCGTAAACATAAAACCCTGTCTGCATTTGTGATCGGAGAAATGACAAACTACTGCTCAAAACCACTGCTCAAAACTCGCGTTTGAATCGTCAGTGGCAAATCCTTTAAATATGAAAAACGTACTTACAGTCTGTGAGTCAGAACAGCCGGCATTGT